TATATATATATACACACACACACTTTTTCTGTCCTCTTATACCGCAATTTAATGTCGAGGAGAGATGTTCGTCATATTGTACCTTTGAAGGGTCTCTTTGACTACCTTGTTATTGGCCTCCCTACCATAGGCCTACTGTGTTAACCGATTAAACTACTCTTGTCTAAATCTAAAGCAATGCACTCTTTGAATTATGTAACACTTAATTGCTATCCATAGTGCCTCTGTATTTAATACATTTCCTCATCCCCAGCCCCAACATGTAAGATTATAATAACAGGCCTATACTATGCAGACTTTTCAAATAAGGTTTCAAACTCTCAAATTAAATGTAAGCTAGATTTAGGCCATGGTATCTAACCAAAGAACTCTCTGAATCTAACAACATAATTTATATTTTTTGGCTTGTAGTCAGAATTTTCTTTGGTTTCCAGACAGAGCACGCAGTTTCTGCAAGTGAAGCTAAATAAATAGGCTAGAATCTAAAGGTTTCCGGAATAACGTTCTGACATCTGAGTAAAAAACTAAGTACGAATCAGGTTATATAACAATGGATATAAATATTAGACAAGGGTAATGGATAGGATCATAATCACATCGCTAAGTTATAGGCATACTATAATAATATTAGATATAAACGATTAATATCAAATAGCCTAATTTTTTTATAAAGTTGACTGCAGAATATTGCCAAAATGGTAGGCCTAGATCTGCTGGCCGCATCAAGGGAAATCACTGTGACATTTTATTCATCTAAATTTCTAGCAGACGATGTCGTGTCAATAAATGCAAGTTCACCAGCGACGCGAAGTACAATAATCTGATCAAACCTTTATCCCACTTACCTTACAGGTGGGGGACAGTTAGAATCTAAATTATTTTAGCTCCAATTTTCTTTTACGTATTGAACAAAGTAACGTATGCATGGTTAAGATTCTGTAGACAAGATCTAGAATCGAAACTCTGTTCCGTTGGCCGGGCCTGCGAACTGCGAACTCAAGGTGATTCAGTCACTCTGAGGTGAACATTTCACTAAATAAGCCCCC